TGCCTTGCTTGGCACTGGCCACAGCCGCAGTTGTTACAGCCCTAATCCTTCTTGCAGAGTGAGCTCATCATTGCCAGCTTGCAGCGGCTGCAGTGACCTCACCTACACAAAACACAAGCAGAGCCTCATGCAAAGCAGGCAGATATTGTGGGGCAATTTTCAAAACATGCAAAACTAGAAGTATCTTACCATGCAAAGGATTTCATTTTTATGTGCCCAAAGACTCCACCCAAAGCAGTACAGGTGGTTCTACCATGTTACACTTTCTTTTCTAAACTCTCTCATATTAAAGACTAAAAACAGTTTACAGTAGCAAGTCAGTTCCCATTTTTACATATTATTACAAACTGTAAATGCCTTGTCATATGATTTTGCTTTAATCTTGATAAACATCAATATACAGTAAGCAACATTTGTTGAGTGTATACCTATTAAACTCTATTAAACAATTTTAACGTAAAATTTAGATCTCTCAGCTTTCCCAGAGTCACAATAACCATCTTGGCTGCTTTCCCAGTCTGAAGGCATTAGTTGCAGTAGGTTTTATTAAAGGATGTGAAAGTAAACGCAAAATACACTTTTTAGATTTAAATTGAAACCTTTTATTCTCCCTTTTTTACTTCACAATCTGAATTGTCTTTTGTTGCTTATAAAATCCTGTTAAGTGCGTTGACGTTTGTGGGTATAATGTTTTTAATATAATGTTCATTCATAAAATTTGCTATAAGTTATGTTGCTTTGCATTGTATCAACAGTAGTAGTAGTGAGGGCAAATATGAATTGCAAACAAATAAATGTAATTTTTTAAATGAACTTTTTTGCATCTGAGTCTGAAATGGTATTCCTGTATATCTGCATATGTTGTTTTGCAACCGCCATATAATTCTAGTTTACATACAATAATAGGGAACAAAATAAAAAAAAAAACATTAACTTCCCCTGTCAGACATAAACACACGTGTTCATGACCATATAGCCACATATACACATTTGTGTGTCGTGAAAATAAAGAGACACTTGCTCTGTTGGCACCTCCTTCAATCACACACGCCGCCTCCACTCCCTCATCCCAGCTGTCACAACTGCAGAAGCTCTACAAATACACACGCACACTCTTGCATATTCACAGTCACCCACACACACCACTTTTCCTGCTCACACCTTTTCCCGCTCACCACCACTCTCTCCAGTTGGTGCTTGTGTGCCCACTCTTGGTCGCATGTAAAGTGTGCGCGTTCATATGTCAACATGGAGGCTTTTTGTTGCTGTGGTTCCAGCTGAGTACAGATAAGATTTCACTCACCTCTGTTTTTGCAGTTTGTAAGGGAAATCAATTGTTTTATCTTTACCATCATATTTGACCTCCTGTGGCTATGGGATGGGGGGGCTGATGTGATAAATGACCACTTTTTGAATTTCGTTTATGTGCTTCGTACTCATTTGTTTTCATAACCCTAAATGTCCCGTCAGATCAGTCTTGAAGTTAACAAATGTTTAGCCCCATCTCACTATTTGTGTGTGAAATTACTCTGCTGCTGACTCTACATGTTTAGGTGTCTACAAGGGCGTTAGTGCAACACCAAATGCTTCCTTTTTTGACAGCAACACCATATGCAAGGTCATAAATCTGATCACCAGCGCAACAGAATCCAGCGACACTGTTGCATGCAGGAAGCAAGCGGGATTAGCGAGGATTTATGGTCAGGCCGTAGATAACATAACCATCACTTGTGAATGCGCCCATTATCCGCGCTCTTAAGATGACAGACTGACAACTTTGCAAGTGGAAATAAAAGTGCAAGTAGAAACACAGATGAGTTTTTGAATACATTTAATTTTAATAAACTAATGTCCGAGAAAAAGGAGGAGATTGAAACATGAAGCAGATTTCAGCCTGAAACTGGGCCCCTGGTTGTAATTATTACCCATGTAGAGTTTTCCACCCTTGTAATCTGGCTCCAAATTTTATGATCCAATCCTTTTAAAGGCCCAGTGAGGCATATACATACCGTATATACTCCCCACATTGGATAAAAATTAGCTGTGGCTCTCTGAGGCATTACTAATATGGATCCCTCTCGAGCAATCATGGCTAAATTAAAAAATATAAAAGTAAATAAATAAATTTATTACCAAAAACAGCAGGAAAAAATGCTGTTAAAAATTGCAGGCGTGACACTTGGAAGCTGTGATGTCTTTCGAAGGTGATATTAAAAGTTGTCACCTTCTTTATGATCCAAAGAAAGAGAATAAAAAATCTGAATGATGGTAGATTTGAAATCTGTGCTTGGCGTTGTTACTTTTACACATTCATCCAGGATAAAACTCAGAATGATAATCATGCCAAGGCACTTCCAAGCAGCTATTAAAGCAAAAGCCAATAACTTGCAAGTGTTGTGAACTAGGACACAGAGGGATTTTGTTTTGTTTTATTTATACTATTTTGGCCAAAATAGAGTCCTAGTGAGCAAATTCATGTTTACATTGACTCTTAATATTTTGTTTCAAAGGCTATTTTTTAAGCCCTTCTCTGAAATTAATGGGAAGTTGTAAAACATACTGTAATATATGATACAATACTTTATCATAAAGTACTATTAAATAAATTTGACAGTTACTTTAAAAATTTGACTTATTTTTTTGATGCAGCTCACGTTTTGTTGAATAGGTGTATTTTTATCATCATGATTTTCTTTAATAATAAATAAGACATTACATTCATGAGAGTGATATTACATCAGAGTATTAAAAAAAAAATTCAATACAGAAATACACTATATTGCCAAAAGTATTTGCTCACCCATCCAAATTATTGGAATCAGGTGTTCCAATCACTTCCATGGCCACAGGTGTATAAATTCAAGCACCTAGGCATGCAGACTGTTTTTACAAACATTTGTGAAAGAATGGGTCGCTCTCAGGAGCTCAGTGAATTCCAGCGTGGAACTGTGATAGGATGCCACCTGTGCAACAAATCCAGTCGTGAAATTTCCTCGCTCCTAAATATTCCACAGTCAACTGTCAGCTGTATTATAAGAAAATGGAAGTGTTTGGGAACGACAGCAACTCAGCCACGAAGTGGTAGGCCACGTAAACTGACGGAGCGGGGTCAGCGGATGCTGACGCGCATAGTGCGAAGAGGTCGCCAACTTTCTGCAGAGTCAATCACTACAGACCTCCAAACTTCATGTGGCCTTCAGATTAGCTCAAGAACAGTGCGCAGAGAGCTTCATGGAATGGGTTTCCATGGTCGAGCAGCTGCATCCAAGCCATACATCACCAAGTGCAATGCAAAGCGTCGGATGCGGTGGTGTAAAGCACGCCGCCACTGGACTCTAGAGCAGTGGAGACGCGTTCTCTGGAGTGACGAATCGCGCTTCTCCATCTGGCAATCTGATGGACGGGTCTTGGTTTGGCGGTTGCCAGGAGAACGGTACTTGTCTGACTGCATTGTGCCAAGTGTAAAGTTTGGTGGAGGGGGGATTATGGTGTGGGGTTGTTTTTCAGGAGCTGGGCTTGGCCCCTTAGTTCCAGTGAAAGGAACTCTGAATGCTTCAGCATACCAAGACATTTTGGACAATTCCATGCTCCCAACTTTGTGGGAACAGTTTGGAGCTGGCCCCTTCCTCTTCCAACATGACTGTGCACCAGTGCACAAAGCAAGGTCCATAAAGACATGGATGACAGAGTCTGGTGTGGATGAACTTGACTGGCCTGCACAGAGTCCTGACCTCAACCCGATAGAACACCTTTGGGATGAATTAGAGCGGAGACTGAGAGCCAGGCCTTCTCGTCCAACATCAGTGTGCGACCTCACAAATGCGCTTCTGGAAGAATGGTCAAAAATTCCCATAAACACACTCCTAAACCTTGTGGACAGCCTTCCCAGAAGAGTTGAAGCTGTTCTAGCTGCAAAGGGTGGACCGACGTCATATTGAACCCTATGGATTAGGAACGGGATGTCACTTAAGCTCATATGTGAGTCAAGGCAGGTGAGCAAATACTTTTGGCAATATAGTGTATGTGTTAGATAACCATCCATCCATTAATCCATCCGCTACTGCTTCTCTATCAGGGTCACAAGTTGCTTTGGTCTATTTCCAGTAGTCCTACGAAGGGGCGTCAGAGCTGGGTTAGAAACACTTAATGCTTAATAACTACTTATTATATGGCTATTTCCAGAATGTATTTCTAATCTGCTAAGAAGGCCTCATTGGATCACATATATACCTCTGAAAGAGAGAGAGAGAGAGAGAGAGAGAGAGAGAGAGAGAGAGAGAGAGAGAGAGAGAGAGAGAGAGAGAGAGTCCTTTTATCTGCTCTCTTTTTCAGAGGTCACCACATCGAGTCATCGCAACTTTGACACAGACTTTACACTAGATCCCCTTACTTGTGGAGCTTAAATCAAAGCTGCGACTTAGCAAATATTATTTTATTGTGTTATTAAATATTATTTATGATCTAATGTATTACATTGTAATATTAACACTACGGTATGATGTGATCTGAGTTGGAAAAGTGAGTTGATATATGATTAAACACAACCCTGTATGAAATACTTTGACATAATGAAAAAAAATAATTTTTGCATTACAATACTGTGAATAGAAAAAAAGAAGAATATATTTACTCTTAAAGGGATTTTTTATGATTCCATGATTCCAGTGATGCGGAAGACCTGCCTTATTCCAGTACCTGAGCCAACAGTCCTCAGTGACTAGAGACCTGCTGCCCCAACATCTCACATCATGGAGGTCCTAGAGAGACTTCTGTTGCTTCACCTCACCAAACAAACAAGCAGCTATAAGGACCATCTCCAGTTTCTGTTGGGATCCTGAGGCTTGCCCACCAGGGGGCGCCGAGGATCCCTTCCTGAGGGTTTGTGTTACTGTTGGGATCTGGGGTTCTGTCCACCTTTCTCCAACAGAGGGCGTTCTAGGTCTCCTGGGGCTGACTTCCCACCTGCGGCTCGTTTGCTCATCAGGAGACCAGCATTTAAGGAGAGGCAGAGCAACACTCCAGTGCCAGAGTGTTAGTCAGTCACGGTACAGCAAACCCTGAGCCAACCTGTCTGTCTAGTCTCCTGACTACGAGACCTGAACCTGATCCATTTTGTCTTCTCTGCTTCCCAGGTTGAACCTGTCTGAAACCAGAAACCCCCTGAAGAGTTTCTCTGTTGGAAATCTGTCTGTCTGATCTCAGAAGAACCCTGGAGAACCAAACCTGTCAAAGATCTGCCAGCCTCCTTATCGCCCTGCATTTGGAGTTGATGATACCATCTTACACCTGCTTTAAAAAAAAACACTGTCATTTAGACGAGGCAGATAGCCCTGTGAGGATCATGGTCTTTGATTTCTCCAGTGCATTTACTAGACAGAATTCTGTCATCTGCAGAAATACTTGGATGACTCTGCAGTCATTGGGTGCATCAAAGATGGACAAGAAGCTGAGTACAGAGAGCTGATAAACCGCATTGTGGCATGATGTGGAAATAATCTTCTGATCCTGAATGTCAACAAAACAAGGAAGATGATTGTAGATTTCAGAAGAACAGGAACAAGTTGAATCCTATTAACATCAAGGGAGAGGAAGTACAGGTGGTTGAGGAATATAAATACCTTGGTGTTCACCTACACAACAAACTAGACTGGAGACACAACTGTGAATTTGTCTGTAAGAAGGGACAGAGCAGACTAGTTTCTAAGGAAGCGTAGGTCCTTTGGCATTTCCAGCAAGATGCTGCATATCTTCTAGTCTGTTGTGGAGAGTGTGATCTCTTCTTCCATCCTCTGCTGGGGTGACAGCATTAGAGCAAATTATTTTAAAAAAGCTCAACAAGCTAAGGCCAGCTCTGTTCTGGGAACTCCTCTTGAACTTCTGGAGATTATTTCACAAAGAAGAATTCTTTATAAAGTGAATAACATTATGGACAGCAGAAGATTTTTAAACAACAACAGAGTGTCTTCAGTAAGAGGCTTCTCCTGATCTGGTGCAAGACAGACCAATACAGAATATCCTTCCTTCCCACAGTTATTAACACCTACAACACATGTTTAAAAATAACTTATGAGTTACTGCAACATTTAATTTTCCTTTGGCATTTAAAAAGTATTTTAGAATTTAATTTATATTGTGATATGAAATTATACAATATCTATATAGGAAAAAATGTGACACAGTACAATACAATATGATATAATGCAATATAGTATGGCTGATAATAATAGTAAATACAATTGATTTTATGAATACAATAATAAGATTATATGATTCAAAATGTATAAATCAGTGTAGTCAAATCATAGATAATATATTGCAACATGATATCAAAAAATGGTATGTGTTATGATATCATACAGTGATACAATACATAGCATACATGAGCTGACATATGTTAGAACTGCAATATAATAAGCATGGTAAGACATGTATCAGTTCAGTATTATATAATAGGCATGCAAGATAATGAGATACAAATCAATCCAAGTAATAGTTTGTGAACTCAAAGTATTCTGTATGCTGCTATAAATTATATGATATGATATTTTATATTTTGAACAGCCTCAAAAAATAAAGCAACGGCAGAGAACACTCCATGTTTAGCATGTAGACATTTTAAATTCTGAATGTGTGGAGCTTTTTATCTTCTGTGTCAATTATTTTTGTTCTGATGTTTAGAATATTTTGCCATTTTTGTAGCTATGTATAAAAACGTTTAATATTGTCAATTTGAGAAGAAGATCAACACAAAAACTTCTCTATTCATTCCACCACTAGTGGAACTTCAGATCATTGGTAGTGTCCGCATAATCTTCCGAAGAAATATAAACTTACAAAAACACAAATCATATTTTCATGTAGAAATGTTAAACTCTTTTCCCTGTAAAAATAGAGAAAACTTTCCATTCTTTATATATATTTGCATTTATTGAGTTTATTTTCAGATAGCATCATGAAATTCCCCTTAATATTCTAACAAACATGGCTGCAGTTTCATAATAAAAAAAAAATAATAAAGTTATTTAACTCAAGAAGTTGTCAATTTCTTCTTTTAAAAAGTTAAATAGACCATAAACAACTCTTTTTTATTCTCTCCGTCTCTGAGTTGCTTTTTTCTTGCTAACCCCAGTGAGTGAATATGTGTCTGGCAGTACCAGTCTGCTGTTAGTTGTTTTGCCAAAGCCTGACAAACAGGGGTGAAGCCTGGCAGGATGCCCCCTGGTGCCCCCACCTCCCCACACACTGCAGTCAGTCCAAAGGCAGCTGAAAAAGAGAACCGCCAAGAGATCAACAGTTGTTCTGACTGCGGTTGAGCAACTGACCAGGCTGCTGCACACCAACCACTGCACACTTAGGGCACCTGACCCTGGGTAAACTGACAAATGCCTTGGCTTTGGGTGTGTCTGCAGAGTGATGTGACCTAAGGCCTTGACGACCTTTCTGCAATGGGTCTGCACATGCAACTACTGGCCAAAGTCTCTGCCTCATATATAAGCCATAACACCTTCTTCTTTTTTTAACAAACCAACCTTTCCTGATTGCTTGAGCTGGAATATTATGATCTAAAACATCCGTGGGGATGTATGTGTTAAAGCAATTATGTGGAAGTTCTTGGATCGCTTCTTTACTCTTGTTATAAGATTCAGAGCACTACAGAAACTATTTTATAAGCTTCTTTATTAGCTCAAACAGAGCAGCAACACCAACATTAATTCATTTTAATAAATTGGCATTCATAAAGTTGGCATTCATAGACCTGTTTATTGTTTTATACGGCAGTGTATTTCAACAAAGACATTTAAAAGTTCATATAAGTAGATGGAGCACTTACTGTATGTCACAACCTTCTCATGTACAGCATGGTTGCTGGGTATGTTTAACTCATTTCTGCAAGGCTGTTAATTTCCCTGAAAGTAAGAATGGATTCCGGTGACCCTTTCCTATATTCCCTCCAAAATGCCCAGCTGTTGCTTCGGTGGACAGCTGCTTTGGGAGCAGAACAAATCTCAGCTGTCGATGGGGAGCTTTACGTGGGGGTTGGTGGAGCCTGAGGTTTGGATTCTTTTAAAACCAGTGACACTTTGCTCTTGGGCTTTGCATGATGTTGGGTGGAGTGTGGTAAAAGGCTGACAGGCAGCAGCTTTAGAGAAAGAAAGTCTGTTTGTACAAGTATGTGTGTTTACAAATATACAGATTGGTACATCTAAACTATGCCATTAAAGCTATTGGGATAAAATGTCAACTTGTTAGTGATTGTGCATAATAAGGAGAGAAATAGGCACTGACGATATGCACCCTCATCAGAATCAGCTCAAAAATTCTTACTTTGTATTAACTTAATAAAGTTAACACCCACAATTGGCTCTATCGTTTAATATCTAATAGCTAAATCTTCAAATAATTTTCTATCTATGATTCCCCCATCTTACTGAATCTGAGAATTAAAGTGCCAGGCAAAAATATCCAAATGCTTGAACTTTTCAATACTTTGAAATGATACAACCACTATCCTAGGTTTTTATTACAAGGATTTGATGTACTAGACAAATAAAAAGAAGAAAATTAAATTTTATCTTAATTTATAAAACAAAATCTAAGAAGTTCAACTTACATTTACCCCTGGTAATCTTAAATAAAAGCTTATAAAACTGATTCCCAAAGAAGTCAAATAATTAATAGGGACATCCTTCTCTAACAACTTAAGAATCAAAAATAATCTTGTCACACATGCAATTTTTCTCTGGACCCTCTGTTCAAGCTGTCATCTAAAAACTGAGAGAATATTTCACAACTACAAGCCTATCAAATCATGGAGTTCTAAAAAACTAAGAAGTACAGATTTATCTGAGAAGCAGGCAAGAGTCATTATAACTGGAGGAGCTACAGAAAATAGAGATCAGGTGATAGATTCAGTTCACAGAACAAATCTTATTCAATCGACTAAAATCTGGTCTTTAAGAAAGAATGCTCACAGGAAAACATTGAGAAGTCCTGCTTAAATGTATCAGAGGGAGTATAGGAAGCATGGCCAACATGTCGAAGAAGAATGTGCTCTGAGCTATTAAACTATTTGTTTGGCATGTATTTTTTGTTTGTCTTATCTTCATGGTATTTATGGTTAGAATTTGACAAAATAAAGAATAAAAGCAAGGAGTAAAAATATCTGCAAAACACTTTGCCTTGCAGGAAACACGGTGTACACATATAACTCAGATTGGAGCTTCTTTTGGGAAAAAAAATGTTTTAATTTATATAAAACATAGATTTAGTGTTGCAGTACACTTAAATTGTCATATATTACAACGTCACTTAGGAAACTTCGCAACTTCTAATTATATGGGTCTCTATTTGATGTTAGCCTAGCACCCTCTTGTGGTAATTTTTTGCAATCACAAGTGAAGCATGCTCCACAGGTGGTAAATTAATTTAGTTCTTTATACTTGCAAATTAAAGAATAAACGACTATCATTTATCTTATTGTCCTTTTATTAATTTTAACAAATTCTTTACAGTTTAATTCCAACAATAAACAAAGGAGCAAAAAAACAACAAAGCTAAAATTGTTTTGATTTATTTAGAAGGGATTACTACAAACAAATAGATTTAAAGATTTAGAAATTAATAATATACCTAAATAATGGGTATTACCATAATAACTTATTCGTAGTATGTTTTGATTTTCATAGATGTCAGTCTTAATAATAACACTGATTACGAGTAAATACATTTCAGCACCAAGGACAGAGACGCCTTTTGCTATCAAAAAACTCATTGTTCTCATGAAGTTCTCGGTATTTTATTTACAGTTTCTGTCCTTAACAACACCTTTCTTAATTATAAGCATATTTTGAGTTGTTATATCTTTAGATTAAAATCGCTTCAGTTTTAAGCTTTGTTTTTGTTTGTTGGGGGGTTTGTTGTTGTTTTTTTTCCTGCCTGTTGGTTTCCTTTGTTTTTTGTGGGTTTTTGTTTTTTGTTTTGTTTTTGTTTTTTGTTTTTTTTACTGCATCACATGTGCTTGTTGCTGTTAAAACGCTCAGCACCGAACGAGGCTCTTGTCCTGAAACCAGAGGGACATCAGGAGCAGGAAGCTGCAGAAGAGGCAGCAGTGGTACACAGCGTTGTGCGACATTTTTTACTCCTACTTTAAAAAAGAAAACGAATTGTTTTTAAAATGTGCGTTTAACGCATTAAAGCTCTTAATCATCGTCGGCTGTGCGCCAACTTTTTGTTCTTTTCATTCAATTTCGCGCGTTTGTTTTTAAGACCCTGCTAATCTAATACTTAACATCTCTGCGGTTTAAATCTCTTCGTTATTTTCTTTCTTTCTCTCTTTTTTTTATTTTATTTTTTTATTGTTTTGGGGGAAAACATGTCTCGGAAGAAGGCAGCTAAAGGAAAAGCAGCAAATAGTAAACATTCAGCAGGCAGCCCCTCCGGGAGAGGCACCGTGAAAGCTGCGAGGAGCAGTCCGAGCATCGTTCAGATGAACGGCGTGGTCCATCCAAGCAGACCCTCCATCAGCAACAGCAACGAGTTTTATGACATCGCTTTCAAGGTGAGATGAAAACAGCAGCGCAGGTCAAGCATATCACTTATTCTGTTGGAATAAAATAATAAAATAATAAAATGGGCGAGGGATAATTTGATAACACTGGGGTACCTTATCCAACCATTTCTACTTGTGCTTTTCCATGACTAAAACCCTATTTACCTCAATTTATCTGTTACACAAAATATTTTCCTCTTTTGATGATGGATTTTTTTTTTTTAGAAGGGTGAACTGCAAGATTTTTTTTTTTCAGAAATGAAGTGTATAAAAATTGTACTCTTCTTAATAAAGGTAGTTTTCTTCTTCAGGTTGCAGACAGTAAGCAGTTGTGCATGTTGTCATGCTCAGCACGCAAATGAGTGGAGAGCTGCCACTTCAAAGATTCACAAACACAGATTTACACCCACAGATTCCCATTGTTTGCCTTTAAAACATTAGGATTTGCCACCTACTTCGTTTTTATGAAGTTGATGTTAAAAGCGAATGTATCTATGTCGCCTTGTTGCCATTTTAACATAAAATACCTATTAAACTTGCAAAAGAAAAACAAATTATTGGAGGCAATGTGTTTTATTCACCACGTAGACCAATATAACTATTTTCCAAAATAATTTATCTGTAATCTTAAACTCAGCACCCTGGAGAAACGTATTTGAAAAATAAAAATAAAAGAATCAACCATTATATTTCTCCCTATGTCAGGGGTCTGCAACACCACTCCTCAAGTGCTACTGTCTGCAACTTTTTGGGTGCATTCCTGATTCAACACAGCTGAATCAAAAGGCTCAATTATCCCCTGGGCATGTCACCACATTTTACAAAGGTTAAAGCATTAATCATTCATTGGATTCAGGTGTGTTGGTGCAGGGGTGCATCCAACAATTGAAGCACAGTGGCAGCCAAATACTGGAGTTGCAGACTCTTGCTGTATGTGTTCTATGTGCAATATTAAGAAAGACTGAGAGTTTTTCTCTTAGGCCATAAATTGTGATCTTGTGTCACCAGAACACATTCTTCTGCAAGTTTGTCATCTGTCTACATGGCATATAAGAAACCAAAACTTGCTGATAGTTACCATTTAAACTGTAGCTCCCTTGACGAATTGGATATGAGAGGTGGTTAAGGCTTTGAATATTGTTTTAAAACTCTTCCTAACTTAATCCCTGTCCTGTCTGCTGTGTTTCTTGGTATTCATAATTCTGTATGTTCCCTTACAGATGTTAAAAGTAGTGCAATCTCTCAGTGCTGAGGTTTTATCAAGATAACATGGTCAATGAATAAACAAACTCATGGAATCATCTTTTTTTTATAACACTAGGCGCACCCCTGATAGCGGGTGTGCACTGCCTCACATATTGTCAGTATAAAATGTGTCACAACTAGACTTGCACTGGTCAATAAGAGATGCACAGAATTTGGCTGATTTTACATGATCAGCAACAAATGGCATCAGCCAGCCATCATAAAAACGATTTTCAAGATCTGGTCGTTTTCTTGAGTTTTTCCCTGAGCAGACACATATTTTCTCCTTCCCTTGGTCCATGTTTGTTTTTGTCACATTGCTCAAAACAGGGGGACGTATAACCTGCACAACAGAGGTAGGTAAGGCAGCGTTCTGGAGCTCAGGAAGTAGCAGCGCAAAATCAGTGTGAGAACACCAGCAGGGAGAGGCAAACAGCTGTGCCCTACTGTGAGGTTAAGGTACCACAGCTGGAGATCGGAGAAGAACAGCGGTATAGGGAGAAGCCTGCTATGCAGACAGTGCACCAGATCGGGGGATAGGCCGGTGCTAGCCTCTAGAGGCTAACTGATGCAGTTGGAAGAAGGACAGTGGGAGACAAGTGCAGTTTGCAAAGAGGACAGAGCGGCATGGACAAGGCAGCAGCTGGCTGTTGTCTGCGCTGGATGTAGAATGAAGAAACAATCCTTCAAGGGCTAAACCAAAACGCCTTCTTTAAAAGCCACTCATGCACTCTTTAGAGCATTCCCCACTTTAGTCTATGTCAACATTACTTTCTCTATCTTCCATTTGAATTAAATAAAGCTCATCTACACTGCGTCCTTTATTCAAGTAAATTCAAGACACTTTCTCATTCACAATTTTTTTATACCTAATAATATAATTTCAATGTAGATCAGACAATAGAGTTGAAGTATGTATGGATTTCATGCTGGGATTGGTGATCAGCAATACTGGGATCGGCAGATACTGATTTTGGTGATCGGCTCTCAAATCCTGATCAGTGCACCTCTAGTCACCACTTGGGTGTTCACCATTAGCTTGTGTAAAATAACTTGCTAATTTTCACTGATTTGACAACCTGTAGCTTTATCTAATATCTAGCACAAAAGAGACTCAGTTCTACAGAGCTAGACTCTGTGACTTCTCAAGGTCATTATTTCCACTGGAAATGCTATCAGGACAATAAGTTGAATACATGTGCAAAACACACTTTTTATATTTAAATAAAAAATATGTAAAATCATGTATGATTTTTCTGCTGCATGTATGGTGTATTATTTTCTAGCTGAAAACTGTATAAGATTCAAAAAGGATAAATGTTGTTCCAAGGTCCTGTAACTCCCCTTGCTAGAATTGCTCTGCTTTTATCACTAATTAAACTTGTTTAATTGAAATAACTGACAGACAAAAGCACAGGTTAAAGCAATAGCAGCAAAACAAAAGGGTGAGATTGTCAGGGCTTCTAAAACTGTGGATCTGCTCACTAACCCTGCTTCTCTGTGTCCCCCTCGCTCTGCTTCTTCTGTCTTTCATCTCCTGTCTGCTTCCTCTCTGGACCCTGGAGCCACTTCAGAGCTCCATATCTTGGTCCCACAGTCCCTTAGCTAACCTGATAACTGTAATCACATAAAACCTTTAATCAAATCACAACTTTGAATTAAACCATGCACGGCTGGTTGTGGCAAAGAAGCTTTGCAATGTATGTTTGTTCTACATGTAAAGACACACTTACAGCACGGATGTGGTCACAGTAGTCACAGATTTATGTGTCTGCTCTTCAATACCAAGCAAAGAAATGCAGAGAAACTGCCACATCTTTATACCACTATGATGGATAGGTCTTCTCTCTTTTCTAGATGTAATTATTTATTATTATTCATGGTCTTAACACTCGGCACTAATCTCCCCATGTTTCCAAATGGATTATTTGGCTTTTTTTTTTTCTCTATGCAGGTTATGCTTGTTGGAGACTCTGGGGTTGGAAAAACCTGTCTGCTGGTCCGTTTCAAAGATGGGGCTTTCCTTGCTGGCAGCTTTATTTCCACTGTGGGAATCGACTTTAGGGTGAGTTTAAATCAATACCCCAAGGAAGCAATCACAAATTCTCCTACAAGCAATACATATCCTTTCATATTTTTCATGTTTAGTACTAATACTGAAACAGGGCCAGTCTCTAATAGGTTTCTTTTTAGAGCCATTCTCCGTCTTCAAATCCCAAGAGTTTTAAGTATGTCCCTGTGTCAGAAGAATGATATTGATTTCTTAAATTAGTTTGACATGTTTTAGTTTTACTGCCAGGGTGATCATGGTGTCTATCCTGCACTAGTTTTGTGGACTTTGATGGGCAATGGGGGAAAAAAAAATTCCACTTTTTAACGAGATAACAAAGGAAACGAGTACATTGTTTCATCTTTTTTTATTTGATTAACAAAATTGCCCAAGGATAGGAATGCTTATTCATACCCAATCAGTAATGATGCATTGCATACATTTAAATATAATTGAAATGCATCATTATTTTAAGTTTACAAGTTGAAATCCATACTTTAGTTGGATTCCTTGATTTATTTTTTAATGTCTTGCAGCAAAATGGAACCCCAAATTCAATTACCTTGGAAATGCCAATAATCAACAAGACAAACAAACAACAAAATGTGTTGCTTATGTTGCGGCCTGTACATTCATTGGGAAGCCTGTTGACAAAACATCTGTCTAGCATACACAAAGGTCAGAATCATGCTCTGCGAAGAACATGTTTGCAATAGTTTTGATTGAAAGTAGGAAGGAAAAAAGTGTGACACAAGCAACATGGCTTACTGCACCCTTTACAGGATTATAAAAAAAATCAAATTCAGAAGTTTAATAGAGATTCGGGATGTGTGTACAGTAGCTGGACTCAGTGTTTTTCAAGCCTTCAGTACAGATGTATTCCTAGTTTTAAGCTCCTTCTGTGTGTCAGAGAGGTCTTACCTGGTTAAGGAGAAATTAAACTAAACTGCTGCTCCATGGTCCTTTTTTCAGCTGAAATTAAGATTTGTATTTCATTAGGAAATCAATGTCCCATATAAGGGACCACAGAAACCAAGCTGCTGGAGGTCCAGTGAGTGGTTCCTACAGTTAACATTGATTTAGGGAACCATTTCATCTGCTGGTGATGGTCCCCTGAGCTTTATCAAGTCCAAGCTACGATCAGCCATCTAGCGGGAAATATCTCAGCACTTTATGCTTCCCCCTGCTGACAAGCTTAATGGAGATGCTGATTCCATTTCACTTATTTCCATTATTTATGAATGAACGACTGATACACTTATTGATCCCACTTTATTGATTGCTGGGGAAATTCAGGTTTTTAGGCTTTCAAGAAACTACCATAAAGACGGCAATAAACAGTCGACAACAATAAGACTATAAAATAAATGATGTATAAGGAAGAAAGAAGCTATATTCAATATATACAGAGAGATAGTTGCATTATTTATGGAAAAACATTTATAAAGATAGCATAAGACCATTGGTATTGCAGTGGCATTTGCAGTGATGAGAGGTAGCAAGGGTAGTAGTAATAACAGGCAGCACAAATATACACTATATTGCCAAAAGTATTTGCTCACCCATCCAAATTATTGGAATCAGGTGTTCCAATCACTTCCATGGCCACAGGTGTATAAATTCAAGCACCTAGGCATGCAGACTGTTTTTACAAACATTTGTGAAAGAATGGGTCGCTCTCAGGAGCTCAGTGAATTCCAGCGTGGAACTGTGATAGGATGCCACCTGTGCAACAAATCCAGTCGTGAAATTTCCTCGCTCCTAAATATTCCACAGTCAACTGTCAGCTGTATTATAAGAAAATGGAAGTGTTTGGGAACGACAGCAACTCAGCCACGAAGTGGTAGGCCACGTAAACTGACGGAGCGGGGTCAGCGGATGCTGACGCGCATAGTGCGAAGAGGTCGCCAACTTTCTGCAGAGTCAATCACTACAGACCTCCAAACTTCATGTGGCCTTCAGATTAGCTCAAGAACAGTGCGCAGAGAGCTTCATGGAATGGGTTTCCATGGTCGAGCAGCTGCATCCAAGCCATACATCACCAAGTGCAATGCAAAGCGTCGGATGCGGTGGTGTAAAGCACGCCGCCACTGGACTCTAGAGCAGTGGAGACGCGTTCTCTGGAGTGACGAATCGCGCTTCTCCATCTGGCAATCTGATGGACGGGTCTGGGTTTGGCGGTTGCCAGGAGAACGGTACTTGTCTGACTGCATTGTGCCAAGTGTAAAGTTTGTTGGAGGGGGGATTATGGTGTGGGGTTGTTTTTCAGGAGCTGGGCTTGGCCCCTTAGTTCCAGTGAAAGGAACTCTGAATGCTTCAGCATCCCAAGACATTTTGGACAATTCCATGCTCCCAACTTTGTGGGAACAGTTTGGAGCTGGCCCCTTCCTCTTCCAACATGACTGTGCACCAGTGCACAAAGCAAGGTCCATAAAGACATGGATGACAGAGTCTGGTGTGGATGAACTTGACTGGCCTGCACAGAGTCCTGACCTCAACCCGATAGAACACCTTTGGGATGAATTAGAGCGGAGACTGAGAGCCAGGCCTTCTCGTCCAACATCAGTGTGCAACCTCACAAATGCGCTTCTGGAAGAATGGTCAAAAATTCCCATAAACACACTCCTAAACCTTGTGGACAGCCTTCCCAGAAGAGTTGAAGCTGTTCTAGCTGCAAAGGGTGGACCGACGTCATATTGAACCCTATGGATTAGGAACGGGATGTCACTTAAGCTCATATGTGAGTCAAGGCAGGTGAGCAAATACTTTTGGCAATATAGTGTATCAGCAGGTTCTTGGTGCTACATAACAGGCTGTAGGTGTTAGTCTGAGCAGTTTCTATGAATGACCTGCACTATCTCTTCTTCCATCTGCATTTTATTTCCTCTATAAATATGTACATACACAATATGCATTCTCAGGAGGTTTTGGTCGCTGTTCAAGGACAGGACACTGACAGCAAATGGTAATTGTTATTGGTTAGCAAAGGACAAGGAGCAGGATTAAATAAGTAGATGTTTCTTCCTACTTGCATTTTTATTCACTGTTTGGCTATTTTGCTTGTTGCTTTTCTTTATTCTAATTATCTCTTTATTGAATTTTGTTTGATTTCTGTTGTTTTTTGTTGCTCATTTCCTAACTAAATATTTCTTAGCATGAGCTAATAACTTTCCATTCAGCCCAAAGAACCAATGCCCATTTAATGTCCAGCGTAAACATACAGTATTCCCTTATTTTTGTTATCATTTGTATTGTATTCTGTAATATTTAGATACCTTAAAATTTTTATTTTCTTTAGCTTTAAGCCACAATTCCTCAAAATAATTGCTAACAAAACAAATTTATTATTTTGTGAAATCCATGAATAAAGTAAATCTGTCATTTATGTATTATTACTATTATTCATTGAGAGACAGTTGTATTGAATTGTATTAACATTGTCCCATGATAATACAATGTGCAGCATATTGGTATCCTAATGCCAAACTCCCTTCTTCTGTGAATTCACTGCCCCCACCTCAGACTGATTTAGATTTACAGATTTATTTGTGCTCTCTTGAAATTCTCTCCAATTTGTAAACATTTTAAATAATCCAATTCAGCTCTGCAGTAGATTTGTAATCTATTTTAGTCTAACTTACGACAACAAAAAAGCAAACTCACAGTGCACAAAAATATACATTTCAACCCCACATTATTCGACTTGCAGCCTGAAAAGTCATCGACTGCAGATAAATTACTCTGAGGGCATTGACCAGCATCTCTGAGTTGCTGTGCATTCAGCAGAAATCCACATGATAGATACCTGTGAACATGACTTCTTGTTTCATGCATTGATCATTCAGTTTTCACTTTTGAAAAGAGAAGAGAAAGAAAAGAAAAGCTAGCACAACTGCCAGGACATGACTGCAGAAAAGTCAGCAGTTTAAATATCAGTTACTGCTCCTCTGCACTCAGACGGTTTACAAATAAAAACCAAATTGCTGAAATATAAGGGAACTTAACTCACAATTGGAGATATAAAACAAAAACAAATTCTGCTTCTAATGTTGGTCCATTTTTGGCCGCTGTGGCTCAGTGGGCATAAGCAGTCATTTGGCAACTGGTTGATAGGGAATTCAATTCCAGCTCGCCACCACATGTCAAAGGGTCTTTGGGCGAAATACTGAACCCCATGTTGCGCACCAATCTGTGAATCAGTCTGCGAATGAACAAATGTAATTCAATAGAAAAACTGTCTGAATGGTTAAAAACTAAAATAACCCATGCAAATGAAATTAGTTTTGTGTAAAATACTTAGAACACATTCATCTGTGATTGAAATAATGCTCTTTATTTATTCATCTTCACACGACTGATCAGGGATTAAAGTTGCAGGGTTTTAAAAGTTTAATAAGACTGAAGGCAAAATAAGCTTTTCTATGCGGTAATCATGCGGTCATTGTTTGTTTAGGTTGAGTTTAACACATAAATTTACTGTTTTGGACCTTCTTATATTAAATGTTATCATAAAAGCTTGGCATATATATATATATATATATATATATATATATATATATATATATATATATATATATATATATATATATATATATATATATATATATATATATATATATATATATATATATATATATATATATAGACATGCATGATTTTATATTTTCTGACTATTCTTTTTTTAGATTGTAATTGCAGTGTGACTATAAACAGATTATGAAGATATGAATTAAACATGTGACAATACCTTTCGAATAAGCTTTCGAAATGAATGCATCATCTCAGCATTTTCCTTAGAAGGGATGCATGTTAGTAGCCAGGTTTACTTGGAGAACTTTACTCTTAAATATGAAAAGAATAACAAAATCTTTTGGTTTTCGCCAAAGACTTGTGTAAAATGCTAAACATTAAGCAGATGTCTATGAGCTAAACTCTCACACTAAGTTAGACGAGAGCTGGGCAAACGATAAGCAGACAGACAGAGAAGGACACAACCATCAGAGATGGTGTGTTTC